CAAGAGTCATGGTACTGTGTAAATGTCATTTGATCCAATACTGTTTTCCAATGAAACTGTCCCTTTTGCAAAAATTCTCTCAGGGAAAGCCTCTTTTAATGAAGTCTGAGAACTGATTCTCACAACTCCAGAGAGCCTGCAGCATTTTCAGAAATTAATTCACATACTAAGCAACCATCAACTGAACTAGCAGTTCACCTCATTTTGCAAATCTCCAGCAAAGTCTGCTTTGGTGCCCTCTACAATTAGCAGGAAATTTTTGCTAAGAAATCACACTGAATATCAGAATATCAGCCCCTTTCCTATATACTCTTTCCAGCTAATTAAGGTTGACACTTCTTTTTGTTGTTTTAGCATGGAGGTTTATTTCAGGTAAGTGGTAGCAAGGTTCCCCTGTAGTTTGTTTTCCTTTTAGGCTGTGTAGCTATCTATATGTCTTAGTTTCTCCTCATCAGTGCTTCATTTCTGTATTCATACATACATACACACACACATGCATGCACACATGTCTTTCTGTTTTTTCCTGTGACATTGCAGCATCTCCTTCCATCGGGGACCATCTGACCTACATTCAGATTCCACCCAGTGAATAGCCTTGACCTTTGCTGTGCTCTTCATCTTTAGAGACTTTTCTCTCAGAGGCGTTTGTTAAATTTTGCCAGCCATCTCATAAGAGGTGGAAGTGACAAACTGGGACTAAGCAGATAATTTATAACTGCACATCAATTAACACACAAGTGACCCTGCAGTTCCCACAGGGCTGCGTGCTCAAAACCCAGCTGGTACCATGTCTCAACAGCACCCTTCCCCTGAGGATTTTTGTGCTTCAGTGTAGATGCATATCTCTCCGGCCACCACACGTTCTTATTACGGGCCCCAGGTGACTCTGAGCTCAGACCTTCAGATAGACTCCAGTGGGCAATTTTGCCTGCTGTTAATGAGGCTTCTTAGATACTGCGTTTAGGATCTTGTAGTCACAGAAAGAAAAAGAAATGGTCTCCAGAGATTTCAGTGGCTCCATAAGTACCAATACAAACCCTAGTTTGTCTGATAGCTAATCTCAGCAACTAGGAAACCTACAAATGATTGGCACATTTATTCTGAAATGCTACGTCTGCTCCCCTTGCACAAATGAGATTCCATTCCAGTCAGCTACTGCATATTTATGCTCAGCCTTTCATTAACTTATTGATCATGTGATGATGATAATCCTTTGCTACCTTTGGGGAAATAAAACAACAGGGAAAAAATGTACTCTAATGGTGGGGCTATTTCATGCTACCTGAATATTCAGTCCAATCCTCCTGGTCTCTTTCTGTCCTCCTTTCTCTACAAAAGCTTCATGGGTCTCCAAAGACATCCCATAAGAGAGGGTGGCTACCGTTCCCCAGTAAGCCCCTGAGGCTGCCATTTTGTGACATGTAATTATACAGCTAAATCAGGGTCAAGCATCTCCCTTTAAGGGTAAAATATGGTATTACACTCTAAATTCCTGTACTGCAAAAATAAACAGTGCCATCAATTCATTTCCAGTCAGACCTCCACCCCCATGGGAAAAGTAAACAGAACTTTCTGGTGGGAAAAATAGTTTGGAAATACAACCTCTTTATTAAAGCTCTTCCTTCATTCAGCTTGTCTTTCATTAGCCACCCTGGTACACTCCAGTGAGGAATGTGGCTTGAAGAGGTACTTTGAGGTCGCAAGAGGCAAGCCCCCAAGGGATGTAGTTCACTTCCAATACGTCCTCATAAATCCTGACAAGATTATGAGGTCTGATCCAAAGCTCAGTAACCACATGGCCATTCGTAGGTAAATGACTCCAAGAGGGTGGCTTTTTAAGGAAGGATTCCATTTCCTTGCACACAAATGAAGCATCTCTGTTCTCTGTCTTCTTACTGTGAATAACATCTTTCTATTTTTCACCCTTCTGTTTGAAACAGAGGGAACAGGTGAGGAGGAAAGGAAGGTTTTTAAATTCATGTGTTTCCTTAATTCAACACTGGCATATTGGATGTGGGGTTGAGTAAAACTACATTCATATCCATAGTTCCTCTCTATCACTCGTCTAAGAGGTGCAGGAGGAAGAGAAGAGTTCTCTAAGCCCACCTTACAGCCACAGAATGACATACCAGGGTAATGCTCTTTCTGTGATCCCAGAGCAGACCAGCAAGGAGCTGGCTGATGAAACTCAGCAGTGCATTCCCAAAGAGCTGACAGTGTAAATCTGCAGCAACTCCACAGAAGTTAGCAGAGTGACTCCAGATACTCTGTGGTGTCACAGAGCTCCAAAGCAGCCGTCTGTGATAGCAATGAAAAAGGCACCTTTTCTTTCCAGGCCTGAGTCTCTCCTGAGATGTGCCAACTGTGTCAGTGCAGTGTCATTGCTTGCAGTTGAGGTTGTGTTACTGCAACTGGGAGCAAAATTTAATTCACTGGCTTCAGTGGTCATCTGAGGGCAGGATTTGATGCTGTTTGTCACCTCTAGGTCTAGAGGTGCTCAGTAAAAAGAAATTGTGAAATTGTCAATTTGGTTACACCAAAAAAATTCTTGAAATATGATGCGGATCATAGTAAAAATAACCACCTATCCATCACCACAGATTTAAAAATAAATAGTCATTATTTTCATGGGCAAAACCTGAACAACATGTTTTTGACCTTCCCCCTTGCAGCTGCCCAAAAGCAAACTGTTTTTTTGGAGCTGTTTGGGTTTCTGCTGAAATCCTTAATAGTTCCTAAACTATGCCATTTGAGAAGGAAATGGAAGATAGCCATGCTATTGAATGCCTGTATCCATTTGGCGTGTGAGCAGTGGC